AATGCAGGCCCAAGTAAAAATGCCATAGGGCCTTCAGGTTGCAGTGACGCGACCTGGGGGCCCTATTCCAACCTCGGGTCCCGTGAGGGGCCCGTGTGTAGGCTCTCAGCATGTAACACGCCCCCCTCCTTATGAAGACGAGCCGGGTCGCAGGCAAAGTTGCCGATCCGATGGCGGAATGTAGCGAGGATGGCGCGGAGCTGAAGAGCTTGGCGTAGTCTTCCCTTTGCTAAGATAGCGTGAGAGAACGGCGGGGCTTGTGGCCTGCAGTTCCGAACGCGTCAGCCAATGGTCAGCCTTGTAGCTGGAGTAGGAAAAGTGAAGCAGAAACTCTGTTTCTTTGTTGCCATGGCGCCGGTCGGTGATGATGTAGCCGGCCTCCTGAAATCCGTCCATGGAAGGAGGGTCTTGCGTACGTCGACCGGGAAACTCGTCGGACTCCGCTGAAACAAACGGAGCGAGTTTGGAACAGTGGAACACCGTGTGGACGAGAAAGTGAGGTGGCACCGCGATGCGGGATGAAGGCCCCTCGGGATCATCACCAACTGCAGAGAGAATGCGCCAAGGCCTCATCCACTTGGGAAGGAGCTTGCGAAAGATGTCTTGCTCAAGGCTGAACTCCGYGGCGGAGACCCAAACCAGATCGCCGACGCGGAACGGGCAAGGAAGGCGATTGCGGTTGGCTTGACAACTCATCCGTATTTGCATCTTTGACATCTGATCCMGTGCCTTGACAAGAAGCTCTTGCATGCGACGAAGGAACACAAGATGGTCGTCGCTCTCGGCTGTGTGTGGCAAAGTGGCGTCCAGCGGCGATGAGATGGGTGAACCATGCTCAAACTCGAATGGCGACAWCCCGATAGCCGGGTGGATCGATGAGTTGTAAGCCAACTCAACGTCTGGCAAGCGCTCAACCCAATCAACCTGGTCGGRACGGATKAGAGTGCGTAGAAGGACTTGGGCGGTCTGATGCGCCCTTTCCGTTTGACCATCGGTTTGCGGGTGGCGAGCCGAACTCGGCTTCAAAGATGAGCCCCATCGCTTGATGAGGGCGGCCCAAAAGTCGGAGAGAAAGCGAGTGTCCCGGTCGCAAACGATCTCCTTGGGGTAGCCCTTGGAGCGAATCCAACCGGTGTAGAAGACCTCGGCTAACTCCGGTGCCTTTGCGTGATAGCGGCAAGGCAAAAACATGGCATACTTGGTGAGGCGGTCGACGACCGTGAGGATCCCATCAACGCCGGTCTTGTGCTTCGGGAAGGGGTCGGTGATATCCATAGCAATTGCTTCCCGTCGCCCAGGGGGCACTGGTAGTGGGTGTAGCTCACCAAACGGACGATGGTTGCGTGACTTGCAACGCCGTCAGACTTCGCACGACTCACAATAGCGGGTGGCGTCCTTGAGAAGGTCAGGCCAATAGAACCTCTGGAGAAGTCGGCCAAGTGTACGACTGACACCAAAATGTCCGGAGGCGGGCGCATCGTGAAACTCGCCAAGAAGCCGTGTGCGCAAGTGTGAATCACTCGGCATACAAAGAAGATCCTTACCCCGTGAATGCAAAAGTAAGTAGCCCTCTTGGATCCGATAATGCAAAGGCACCGGATTCGGAGAGGAGCAATTCGCGTACGTGTCGCGAAAGTGGGGGTCGGCTTGATAGTCGCGGATGAAGCTCTCCCGCAAGTCGTCGTCGATCTCGAAGGTAGAGTAGACTGCGGTGCAAAGATCCGGTCGCCGTGAGAGGGCGTCCGCAAAACGGTTTGACTTCCCGGGAATGTGATCGGGGAAAAAGTCAAACTGGTCGATGAAAGTCATCCAACGGGAATGGTACTGTTAATCGTGTCTTGCGACTTGTAGAATACCAACGGATTGTTATCCATTACCCATCGGAATGCTTTCCGACCAAGGAGGAAATGTCGCCAACGCTTGAGGGCGTGGACGAAGGCAAGAAGCTCCTTCTTCCGTGCGTCGTCGACCGAATGCACGGGAGGTACTTTCTTGCTAAAGTACTCGACCGGGTGCCAGCCCGTGCCATCGTGCTGCTCAAGGATGGCCCCAATGCCATAGCCCGACGCATCGGTAGTGACGCGCGTAGCTAGAAGCGGGTCGTAAATATGTAACACCTCGGCGGACAAAAGTGCCGCTTTGAGTGTCTCAAAAGAATGGCGCGCGTCRTCATCGAAGTCAAAAGGYCGCTCCTCGCTTTGTAACTTGCTTAGGTTGGCCGCGATCTTCGAGTAACCCTTGATGAAGCGCTGATAATAACCGGCCAAGCCGAGGAAGGATCGGACGTCCGTCACATTCTTCGGCTCGGGCCACTCCTGGATGGCTTGAATCTTGTCTGCCAACGGACGAACGCCTTCCGGACAGACAAAATGGCCCAAGTATTCAAACTCTTGCCGGACAAACTCACATTTGTCGCGGTTAGCTTTGTACCGGGCTGACCGAAGAGTCTCTAGAATACGATGAAGGTGCTCGAGATGCTCCTCGAGATATCGGCTATAGACGAGGATGTCGTCTAAGTAGACCAAGACGAAGCGGTCCAACATAGCGCGAAACTCGGTGGTCATGGCCGCCTGAAAGGTGGCCGGGGCATTGGTGAGGCCGAAAGGCATAACTACCCACTCAAAATGCCCATATCGCGTCTTAAACGCGGTTTTGTACCGATCTTGCGGGCGGATGGAAATCTGATGGTAGCCCGACTTGAGGTCCAACTTCGAAAAGTACTTGGCCCCACCCAACCGCTCAAGCAAATCGTCAATGCGAGGTAGAGGCCCCGCGTTCTTGATGGTTTGCGCGTTGAGGCRTCGGTAGTCAATGCAAAGTCGAAGGTCCTTGTTCTTCTTCCGAACGAAGAGAACGGGCGCACCGTAAAGTGAGCTGCTAGGGCGGATCCAACCCTTGTCAAGTAGATCGTCGAGTTGCGCACGGAGAACTGTGAGCTCCTCCTCGGACATGCGGTAAATGCATCCTTTCGGTGGCACGGCGCCGGCCTCAAGTATGATCTCGTGAGAGATTGGCCGTTCCGGCACTATACCGGAGGGTGTCTCAAAAACATCCGAGAACTCGTCTAACAACCGGGTCACACGGGGGTCGGAAGACACATCTGTGGACGATGAATCGGTCGTGGGGGCGGTTCGAAGAAAAGCGATGCCAATGTCTTCGACATGCTCGGAACGGCATGTGTCTCGAAAAGATTTGGCACTCACGACTTGGCACCGAATGGAAGAGCGAGGAGGAATAGTACACGGGACCTCGGCGCCAGTTGCATCACGAATCGTGAGCGTGCGTCGATGGAAATTGACCGTGTGGTCCGCGCTAGGTGCGTTGTTTTCTTCGTACCGTTGGGAGACAAACTCGCGGGCCACCTTGGCAACGTAGCCAAGCATGTCCCCCACCGCGACTTCGTCTACCGT